ACGAATATTCTTTGAAACAGTAATATTTGATTAATACAGTTACGATATGAATTAATTATTAAATGGATAATCATTCAAAATTGCTTAAATTAGCATTTGCTAATTTAAATTATGTTAGTATAGAACTAATTAAGAATAATAATTTCAAAATTATTCGCAAAAGTCAAGAATTAGACGAATATTCTTTGAAACAGTAATATTTAATTAATACAGTTAAAGATTAAGTGAAATTATAATGATTAATGAATGCATTACTACATGTTATATCCATCAAATAAAAGGTTATTATATCCATCAGTAAAAAAAGTTCTCACATTTACCAAGTAATTTTTACACATCGTTAAATAAAAACTTTTAACCTTATAAGAGTCCGCATCTTTCACTTGATTCAAATAATCGGGATCAAGTTCAGAAACTTTGATGGTACCAACTTTTTCTCCTAATTTCATAAATAGCTTTCTGAATGCACCTCGTCCTTCTGGCTCCGTTAGTGGTGAAGTTATTTCCATCGGTGTTTGAATTTTATCTGCATTTGTATTTGATTGTCCCTTATCCTGGTCATCTTTTTTAGTTTCGCTAAAATTTTGATTAAAATTAAAATTTTTATTCAAAAATAGAAAATCGAGAAATCAGCTATAAATGATGATTGGTGGCAGAATTTAGCAAGAAGTAATTAGGAAAAATGATAGTTTATTACAGATTTAATTAATTTAAATAACTTTTTATTAAAAATGGTAATCCGAAAATATTATCGTTCTTAAGTACAATCACAATTTAGCAAAATGTTGCATTACCGTGTATCATTTGTAGAAAATTGATTCAAATCAAATTTTTATTGACCTTTTTTTGGCTGCCATTGGAAAGCAACCAGATTGTTTGGTTAAATTGTAAAGTATAAATAATGATAATGACGATTTATTTGATTGTATTTATAGCAAAAAACCATTTCAACAATAATTTTTTGCCGAAAAAATTTTCAATTTTAATCTTTTTTTTTTTTGCATTTAAGCAACTAAGGCAAATTAAACGGTTTGTTCAATGTTCTTATTTCATTCAAGTAAGATAATTGTCAATTTCTTCCAATTTTATCATTAGCATTTAGGCATATTGGTAATCACCAACAAATACGGAAACATTCAGGAATGGTAAACATGATAGATCGGTTGGGATTAAGGACAAGTATTTATCAGTAAGCTTATTTCGTTGAATTTTTTCTAGCTTATACCTAAAATTGATAAAAATTGAGAGAAAAAATAAATGGAATTTACTAGTAAATTCCATTTAATACAAAATCCCTTCAAACAAAGAGAATTTAAATGGAAAAAAAATTTTTTTTCTGTTTTGAATATGCAAGGAATATACTGTATGCAAAGCAAAAAGGATTGTTTTCTTACATGGCAAAATAGCTAAGTGAGGTGTTTTTGATGTGTTATTCAATCCTTTATGAACATTTCCTGGATCTCTTGTGTCGAAATAACACGTTAAAACAATCAAAGTATTTGTATCACAATTTTGATTATAAATATTGTCTTATTTTGTATCTTTTTCTTTTTTTTTGATAAGTGATTTGTTATGAAAGTTTTGGTTATCTGAGTTGAATAGTTTCAGCAACAATAAATTTGATATTTATTTGTGTAGGAGAGTGACCAAAGAACCTTTTTATTGACAGGATAATTGACCAAGCCAAATAGACTTTAAATTGGTAACAATTGGACAATTGGATTAAGAGCAGAGATGCCAGGAAATTTCCTGATAATAACGTTGATGTGGCCTTCAAAGGCGTTAAGTGTTCTTAACATGTATGTTAAGAAGTGAGACACGGTGATATTAAACACCGGAAACTGTTGAGAGCCAAATTACAAAACATGCCCATCGCAACAAGATCCAAAAGAGAAAGTCCGATATGAATTTAGTTAGATATTTTAAGCAATTGCTAACAAAGGCATTTCTAAACAAAGGCATGTGCTTGGACATAAAGGAAAAACATGGGAATTGAAACGGGAAATAAATCTAAGGAATGTAAATTTAAACAAATATGTGAGATAAATGGTAAACCATGATCATGGAAAACATTCCTAATTTTATTTGTATAATTTATAAAATTTATTTTAGTTTTTCGCGACATAATTCGTTACACAAAAATAAAATAAAAAATTTCCAACGCTTCAGGTGATGAATCATTTATTCAATTCTCGTAACACTGTGACAAAGAACTCCTATTTTGATCACCAAGCTACTTGTAATCATTGATTTTTAGGTCTGACAATTTAGCTTATACATATTAATGGGTATATTGGAGAAGTATCTAATCTGATAACCGTGTCTGTCTTCAACCGATTGACATGTCTAAACTTCCTTCATCGCATTTCTTTTGTTTGGCAATTCTTTCGTTTAAGATTTAATCTTTTCTGCAATGTATTAGAATAATAAACGCACCCACTATATAAGTTCTAGAATAGACGGATAGTCTTCACATTGATCATCGACATCAACCGATCATCATCTGTCGTGAAATAGTAAAGACTGCCAGATAATTTATCCAAATGAAGCGCTTAGTGCAAAAGCGTTTGTGAGGAAGTCGATTTGTTTTGTGAATACACAACAGTAAGGAATATTAACCTTTAT